CCCCAAAACCCCAAAACCCCACTGATCTGAAATATCATATGTTATCAAATAAGATTATCATAAAATAATTGATTTAGTTTTTTAAATCCTCAAATTTAAATAATTAATGATCGCAAGCTTAGCAAGAAATAATACTCTCACTCATAGGAGTAATTAAAGTAAGTTATCAAGCAAGACGAAAGATCGAGGCTCATTCAAGAATTCCGATAGAGAAAATAACAGTCTTTCTAAAATGAATGCAAAGGATGTATTCCTGAGTGAAGGATAAGTTAATGGATACTTGCATAATTCAAAAGCTGCTCATGTAGTTAATGTAAGTTATATCAAGCCATTCTTCTTCTTATAGCAGGCTTAAATAATTCTTAGAGTATTTTTTCCTCTTTAAAAGATTTTTCACTAGGAAATAAACTAATTTTTTTCGTTTAGATATTTAAAATCAATTCGAAAAAGAAAGACAAAACAGAATAGATTTTAAGAGAGCACGGATATTTACCAAAGGATGAGGAAGATGAGATGGAGAATATACAGTTAACTAATGATTATTATAACAAAATCAAATTCGTAGAGTTTGTTACTTTCTTTTTTGCTTGGGTGGGAGTAGGTTCGGCAGTTGTTGAATATGAACTTCGATATAACTCAGTAAAGGAGGATAGATTGACAGATGATAAGAAGGTATAATTGATATTGCTGTTGACTATAAATGCTTTTTGTACATTTTCTGCATGCATATCCATTTTCTGCAGGTATATGTTAATTCTGAAATGGTAGATTGAGAAAAAATTAATCCTCTATCTTGATAATCTGATAACTACAAAATATTACAAGCAGCTACTTATAGAACTTATAAGTGTTCTGTTATCCCCATTTCCAGGGTTAGAAGAAGTTACCATTACAGAAACTTACTCAGATCGAGAAGTGTCCATAGAACTGCAGGTAAACGTGCTACTACTCTGTTCTGCTATGATAATCAGGCTCTATATCATCATTAGATTTGTGTTATCTTTCAGCAGATATAGGAACTCTAGAATGTAACGACTATGTCTAATCAACGGTACAGATGCTACATTTATGTTTTCCATGAAAGCTTTTAAATAAGATAGGCCATATGTATTTATCTCTGCATCGTTGGTAGTTCCTCTGATTGTTTGTGGATATGGCATGAGAATGTTTGAAAGACCTTTAATACCTACATCTGGATAAGATTTCGATTCACTAGGAAATTGCATATGGTGTGTAATTATCACAATGGCTACTGTTGGTTATGGGGATTATTATCCCATTTCAAATTTCGGCCGTATCGTAGGAATTCTCGCATGTTTATGGGGAGTATTTATTGTGTCTATATTTGTAGTGACTCTCAACAATCTGCTGGAATTTTCTAAGCAAGAAGAGAAAAGTTATGATATTCTTTGTAAATTAGCATATAAAGATGATTTAAGAATGAAGGCCGTGAATGTAATTCTCAGTGCTTAAAGATAAAAAGTAGAAAGATAGAAAGATGACCTAGATATTAGTAAATTGGCTGTTGTGTTCCGTGATTTTAGGAAAAATGTATTCTCCCTTAAATAAGTATCGAAGAGAGTTAGAGCAATGTATGAAGATTATAATGAAGTTGAGGTTGTCACTAAAGACGTTGAAGAGATTAATTAAGAGGTTGACCTACTAATGGCAACTCAAGATGAACTATTGGCTGAATTTAGAGACCTATAAAAATAATTAGGTGATTATCAAGAAAATGAAAATGATGAGACAAATACTACAAATGATCTCAAAATAGAGAATAGCATTGATGATGAAATGTCTAATTCTCTCTCAGAGTCTGAAAAATAAATCCTTTATGTCCCTGGACCAAAAGATAAGATAAACAATGGGGAGTAATGGAATCTTTGAAAAATTTGAAGAAAGTATAAATTTAATTAAAAATGAATTAAGAATTGATATTTAAAATGAGATAATTTATTCTTTATCATCTTTTACCTTATGAAAGTACTTTGGGGTTTTGGGGTTTTGGGGTTTTGGGG